TCATTGCCCTCATGTTTGGAACCATGTTCTGGGATCTCGGTGGCAAAACATCGAGGAACCAGGACCTGTTCAACGCGATGGGAGCGATGTTCGCAGCAGTGTTGTTCCTCGGTGTCCAAAACGCATCCTCGGTACAACCTGTGGTAGCCATTGAAAGAACTGTGTTCTACAGGGAGAGAGCTGCTGGGATGTACTCAGCCTTGCCTTATGCCTATGCCCAAGTGATTATCGAGATCCCTTACATTCTGGCACAGGCTTTGGTCTATGGAGTGATCACATATGCCATGATTGGATTCGAATGGGACGCGAAGAAGTTCATGTGGTACATCTTCTTCATGTACTTCACACTCCTCTACTTCACTTACTACGGGATGATGACCGTCGCCATCACGCCAAATCACCACATTGCCTCCATCATCTCATCCTTTTTCTACTCCATCTGGAATCTCTTTGCCGGATTCATCGTCCCTAGACCTGTAAGTCAATTTGATTTCTTATCTCTTCACTACTGTAGCATCATCATCAAGAGAACTGTAACAAAGTAATTGATGAATTTCATTCATTATGTGCAGCTCATACCAGTGTGGTGGAGGTGGAACTACTGGGCCAACCCGATCTCGTGGACATTGTACGGGCTGATTGTTTCGCAGTATGGAGATGTGAGGACGCCCATGGAAGGAACTGGGGAAGCTGTTGAAGATTTCTTGCGGAGCTACTTCGGGTTCAAGCATGATTTCTTGGGAGTCATTGCTGGTGTCATGGTTGGATTGGTAGCTGTCTTCGCCTTCATCTTTGCAATCTCCATCAAGTCTTTCAACTTCCAGAGAAGATAGATTTTGAGAGCCGAGGGAGTATAAATTACTCAAACCCATTACATCCACTTTGCCATTTTTGTTGTTCAGTTAATTCATTTGTTGTAAGCTAATGTGATATAAGCAAAAAATAGAGTGTGTTATTTCATTTTGGAACAATTTGGAGCGACAGAGCACAATGCCTGTGAAATATTGTGTTGTAAAATTGTTTTTGCTAGTAAATAATGTTACATTTTTGTTCTTTTCATCTGTCATGGATGGGAGAAATTGTCTCCTTGAGTTACAGAGAGATTCTATATGGAAAGTTGCCGTATCTAATCTTGTTAGGGATCACAGTAGGATGAACAATCATCCTCATTTCTAAACAAAACTTCTAAAGAGGAGGGGGGGAAGACTGGATTATTAGGATTTGATGGGATTTGAACTAGTTCAAAAGTCTATTAGCACTAAATCAAAAGTCTATTAGCAGCACAATGTGATAGTTAAACTTAAAATGACAGATTTACTCCAACCCTTGGAACATACTACATTGTCAGGTGGTGAAGAGCCGGCATTGAGGTGTCAAACCTTCCCGTCGTTGCGAGCTCTTGAGGAAGATCAATATGTTGTCCTTAGAGTAACTTTTATCCGCTGAATGATGACTGTTTCACTTGACATCGTTGGATCTAGTTCTGCCTCAAATGAAAATTATGAGGATTTCATTGGAGTGCATTTTGGAACATGGTGATGATAAATGTATACGCTGCACAGTTTTTGTGAATATGGAAGTCACTGAGTTAGGTGATGGTCACTTACGTTCAAGTTAGATTGACTATATTGACTTGCCAATTTGATTCATAGGTTCGAGAATGGAATTTTAGAGTTTGATTTCGGTTGTGGATGTTGACGGTCCTTTTTTTTTTTTTTGGGTGGAATGATGATGGCCCTATTGATTATGTATCTACCCATGATTCAAGTTATCCATAGAGTAAAAAAGGTTAAAAGAAAATTTATAGGTACTAAATGTGGAGAACAGGTTGAATTAGCTGACTTTTAAGACAATAGATATCCGTCAACTTTACCCAGGTCTTTGCTTTTCCCTCTGCTTTTTGTTGTTTTGAACAGAGTTGTTCCGCCATAGCTGTTAGTTGGTTAAGAGACTTCCTGCTCCAACTTTCTTTACACCCTGTTTCAGCATGCTAGTTCCTTAAGCTTCACGCTTACTTGCTCGTGACAGCTTTGGTTGCAATTTCTGTTGCAATCACAGAAGTTGGGCTCCCATTTCTGAATCCACTTGACCGGGGAATCAAGTAATTTCAAATATTAGGGTTTGGTTTCCCCTTCTTTTTTGGTGATTCTCGGGCCGAGCAGGCTTTACCCAAATGAGTGGAGATTGCCTGCAGTTTGAAAACCCTATTGGTGATGGCGTCTCCAGGATCCGATTCGCTCCCTCCTCCAACAATCTCCTCATTTCTTCCTGGGATTCGGTTAAGTATTGGCCTTTTATGCACAGTTCTTCATTTTTTTCCTTCTGTTCGTATGAGGGAAGTGACAGCTCAATTTCGAAAGTGCAGAATCTCCGGTTGTACGATGTGGATAGCTCCAGAGTCAGACTCGAAGCTTCAGTAGGTTTTGCGCTGCTGGATTGTTGCTTCGGGGCCGAGTCTTTGGCATACACTGCCGCTTCTGATGGTTGCATTAGAAGGTTAGAACTTGTATAGTTATATTACTGCCTCGTCCTGTTATTTATTTGTGCCTGTTCAGTGTTCAGACCCTGTCTTGTTCCTTGGTCAGTTTTCTTTTACCAGTGGTACTATAGATGTAGATGCTGCATTCGTAGTTAGGTTTCGTTTGAGCTTGGACTAGTCAGTGATGTTTCTCAAGGTCTGATGGAAATCTTGCTAGGTGTGACTTGCATTCCGGGAGTTGTGATGCAATTGGGCATCATGAGGATGTAGCAACTTGCGTCGTCTACTCGGATGAAACAGGTCAGCTGGTTCTTCTTACTACTGTCAATCAATAATGCCGTCATTGAGTAATGGTTGCTCTCTTCTGTTGTGGTGATTTTGTTCCATGTGTGATGTGTAATGCAGAGGCAATGTAGGAGGCAGCTGCCAGTCACTACATGAATCTGAAGTCAATTTCATGAGTGGAATTTTTAATTATGTCTTCTCTGTTCTTGACCGTAGGCCAAGTTATTTCGACTGGTTTGGACAAGAAGATGGTATCGTGGGATACACGCTCCTCAAAAAGTTCACATGTGAGACATATGGGTGCAGAAGTGAAGGCCATGTCATTGTCTGGGCGCTATATAAGTGTTGCCATTGGAGGGTCGATAGAAACGTATGACTTGCGTTATATGGAAGGACCGGCTTGTCTTACAAATTCTTGTTTTGATGTGCGAATAAGATCCCTTTGCTCAGTTCCTTATTGTAGAGGTATCGTTTATTATTATTACTACCAATAGCTTAGAATGAATGATCGAACAATTTATATATTTTTCAGCTAATAGCTATCTATTAGATAACTTGTTTGCTGTTTTCGTTTTCTTACCCGCCATTGAGTCATGCGGCTGTTTTTACCTGTCATAGGGTATGCAGCTGGTTCAGTTGATGGAACAGTGGCACTGGACATATCCAATCCAACAACTTCAGAAGTGACACGGTTGGTATTCTGTAAAATTTTCTGCAGATGCTTGACTGTGCTTTGATTTGCTTGTTGTTTCTATCGTATACTCCAAGCTAGCTTCCCCCCTACTATCACTTGCACTTGAAATCTGAAAAGCACGATGCAAGCAATTCATTGAATTTGGTTTGAACAAGTCATAGATCTTTGCACTATCTGCTTCTCTTATAAAAGCCTTACATCTGTTTTTACTTCAAGCAGTTAACCAATAGGAAAACATTTCATCTCATTGACATACAGGTTTCACTTCATAATTTAGATGAATTTTTTAAACAAAATTTACTTATATATGACCACTCTGGAAAAAGAATGTGTTGCAGATGGCTTTTGAGTAGGTATATGTCCCTTTGCATTAAGGTCGAATTATTTCATGTCACTTAACTGGAAGTTGGTGCGTTAATCTTTCTACAGCTATGCTTTCCGCTGTCATCCCAAATCAGCAGATGGGAAAAAACATCTAGCTGCCATCACTGACGTACAATTCAATCCAAGGTATGTATACTGATCTAATAATTGTCTGTCGTGATTAAGGTTGCTAAAGTCAGGGCTAATTCTTTTTCTCCTTTTGTATTTGTTTCTGTTTTAGTATCTTTGGTGCTTTTGTTACTGGTGATAATCGAGGCAATCTCCTAGCATGGGATGCTCAAAGCAAAAGAAGGTTATTCGAGGTATGTTGCATCTAATTCCAACAAGAAATTATACCATGCAAACAAACTTATGCCCTGGTTCATTATCCCAGTGCTATTGACTGTTACCTTCTCTTTCTTTTCAGTTTCCACAATATCCAACCGGTGTTGCGTCTCTTGCATACAATTGTAATGGACAGCTTTTGGCTGTTGCATCAAGCCATACCCACCAAGAAGCAATTGAGACGTACGCTGTTTCTTCCGTTGAGAAAGTCTTCGGTATCAGACTACTACCTGTGTGTTAAAATGTTTTTGGTTTTGGCTTTGTTTGAACAGGGAAGTTGTGTCCCCCCAAATTTTCGTATGCAAGGTGGGAGATCCGTAGTATAGAATCTTTTTCTGGTGGTGATTCTACCACTACATGAAGGTCTTCCATTCCATCCACTTGGTGAGCATGTAATGGGACAGGCCAATCGAATGAGAAGCATGGTAAGCGCATGAAGAAGTATTTAAAGGCTGACCAAGTATGGAAATTTGCATCACCCGAGTGGCTGCAATTTGTGAGTTGGCTTCGAGGTGAACTGCCTTATTGCTGAATGTTCCCTGCTAGTGGAGCTGTAACTGTTGTGATATAATTTTTAGTTTCCTGTCCTTGTGCTTTTGTTTCTCTCGTTGCTGGGTTTCATGCTCTCGAGCTCGACTACAGAATTTTCTGGAAATGGTTATTGAACAGCTTGATTCCACATTCTGGACATGCCTTACGGATTCTATGTCTCGGACTTGCCTGCTCTTAGGTGATTCTACATACTTGACTTGCCTTAGGTTCTACATTTTGCAATCGTGCTATGCCTCGAGATACTGATCTTTAATGGGATCTTACTACGGGTTTTATGTTGGGTTAGGGCTCTTCAATTTGCTATATTTTAACAGAAAGAATACTCAGTAAGTATGCTGGCACTAACATTGCCAACAACATTCGACCTTGTTCAGATTAGGTTGACCTCTAGAGTCCTGAGCCAAACCATTGAAAACTACCTGATGCAGATATCATAGTACGAAAGCTGTTTGCAAGCATTACCGACAGGCTGAATTACGTAGTTCGTAGCTCAGCTCCATAAAGAAAAGTCGGAAACGATCTATATGATAACAGACTCAAACTACCATACCAATGTATAGAGTAAAGAAGTGCCTTCTTCCCACAATTACAAGCCATATTTACAATAAGCAAGTCCCAGATTGTTCAACGCTTGCTCCCATTAAGATCGATTGATAATTTGGAAGGTCTTATGGAATGTATGTCCAGACATAGAAGTAGTTCAACCTTGGTAGATGACCGAAGGCTGCCTCTAGGCAGAACCCTTGAGGGTTGACGGTTCATCAAAATCAGCAGCTGTGCTATCGTCTACGGCTAACTTGCCATCCTTTTCGACTTCATCGAAGTAGTCTTCTCGAACATTGGCGGCCAACATGAGCGCAACCAGCCAGAAGAGAGACGAATCAAGAGAGACAAAGGCACCACCTCCCAGGAGACCAGTCTTAGCAGTTGGGCACGCAGTCTCCAAGTTGCGATGAACGTTACGCGACAGGTGAAGTTGCTCTGTAATAGTCGGCCACAACAACAACGCTGCAGCTAAACCACCCGTGAACCTGCCAAATGCATTCACACAAAACTCTTGAACTCTGCAATCAAACTGGCGAAAGAGCTGATCTAAGACTGGTCTAAACTCTAAACCAAGAACACTTGAGTTGCAGCTCTAACTCGGGCAGGGAAACAGAAGCAAAATCTCATGCGAATCACTGGTTTCAGAGTCCTAAGCCATGATCACACGATGGACTGAAAGGGGTAAGTGAAGCTCTCAGAACTATGCAAAGAAGCCATCATATTGTTCATCCAAATCCAAATTCTAAACTCCCCATAGAAATTAAGTAAAAGGCTGCCCAAGTGGGAACATGAAGGGAAAAAACTGCACAGATCCAAAGTAGACGCACGTAGCCAAGTCAACTGTCGAAATAATAGACTTCTAGTGCAGCAAGTTGAGTGTGCGTATGGGCATTTAAAAGAAAGTAGAAGACAAGCAAAACCCACAACTTGACTGCCATATTCATATCCTTTCTGCACATCGCCAGGTTCTAGTGGGAATGTATTCGTTACAAATCAAGCCAACCTTCCTTGGGTTGAATGAACTGATTGCGGCAAATCATCCCACCTACCAAGAAAGAACATGACCCTATTCTATGACTGTAACTTGAAAAAAGGTAATCATCGGAGCAACAACTCACAAGCACTGATCTAAGTAACAGCAGAAGAACCACATAATCATGCAATTCATTCTATAATTTAACAGCTGAAACCATAGAAGAGCGGAGCTTACAGGGCAATGTTGAAGAAGATGAGAAAACTGGTGCTGCGGAACATGGCAGATTGAGGGACGGACTTCCCCTTGTAAGGGTAAAACAGGGAGAAATATCCAGCCACCGTCGACGCTATCAGAAACGCAACGGACAGGAACCCCAACACCACCGTCGCATCCGCCGGATACTTGCAGATCACCACACCCTTCCCGGTAATCGGAGTCCCGGCAGCCGGCTGCCGCAAGAAAAACGAAAAAAATATCTCAAATCAAACCCTGGAGAAATGACAAACCAGAACCAGAAAAAAGGAAAGAAAAAGAGTGTTGGACCGGTTAGAAGAAGAGCATATACCTTCTTGTTCTCGGCGATGACGCCGAATAGGAAGGAGAGCGCGCCGAGACCGGCGACTAGCAAGGACATCAGCTTCATCGTGACCGCCATCTCTACCGAATTTCAGTACAGAAGCGAAAGGTTGAGCGAGCGAGCGAGAGAGAGAGAGAGAGAGAGATGGAGAAATGGAGAATTGAGAGAAAATTGAAGTCCGATGAAGAGGGAGAAAGGTTATCTGTAGATATATAGAAAGGGAAGGGGAGGGAAAGAAACAACGTTCGCCGGCGGAGAGAAAGAGAGAGTGACGGTGACGGTGACGGTGACGGTGAAAGGGAGGTGTGGACTCTGCTGCGTCTGCCAATGAATCTGTGGGAATTTATTGTTGACTGCAAAATTGGTTGGACAGCTAACAGCGCAACTAATACACACAAACAGGTACGAGAATATACTACTAGTTAACAAAATTAACTTTTCGGGGACTGTTATTGGAAATTGCCATTTTCGGCTAAGCTAAGATTCTCCCGTCCCTGAACATTTGGTGTCTTCTACATTCGGTCCTCCAAACTAATTTTTCTTCTCCTATTCCATTGACAGAGCCAGATACAATGCTTCTCTCTCGTAACAGCCAATCTCTCTTGAACAGCTAATGGTTGCCTTGTTAGTTACTACTAATTAATCCCATTTGTTGGTAAACTGGCTGGGATGGATGGCTACTGATTTGTTCTTTCCATTTGTTCTCTTTCCCCCCCCTCCATTTTTTTTAAGGTTAAAAATTTATTGTGGCTTTCTTTTCTTTTTTATTCGGCGAGATGCTTTAAATGTGTGTTGTAAGTTGTAATTTTTATGGTTTGGTTAACTTTTTAGTCTCGAAATCAATTTATAAACTGAATCGCTATTCGTCGCCCTAAAATTCAAATTTTATCGCCCTAAAACGCACTAAATCGACATATTTACCCCTTAATAAAATTTATATTATCCTTACTTTCGTCTCTCTCCCACCTCGGAGTAGCCGGAGTTCGAAGCTAATTCAAACGAAAAAAGGGCAAGGGAACAAGGAGTCGATTACTCGATTTAAGTATAATTGAACTCCTACTTGCAAAACGCGACCCAGCCGCCCGCTCACAGCTCCAGCGGCGGTTGTCGGAGAATTGACGCCGAAATTTTGGTGCCATTTTTGTACTTGTCCAAATAAATGCCACAGTTTTGTGTCCCCAATGAAAAGCAACCATATTAATAAATCCCAATGTAGCTTGCTTCCATGTCCCCAGCTGAAATGGACATGATCTTTGGTAGCCCGGCCACCGCTGTAGTTTTTTCCCTGTAAATAAATGCACTAAGGACATTAAAGTAAAATTAACTTAATTAGGGCGACGAATAAAGATTTTTAGGGCGACGAATAGCAATCCTCTTTATAAAATGCATAAAAAATTCAAAAGGGGTCACATAGTGGAGGGAGAATATGTAATCAGGTGCAATGAACAATTTATTTTTTATTGGTTTAATTTGTATTAGACCGTTAGAAAATCATTATGAATTGATGTCCAATAAACAAGAATATTATAAAACTAGACAATTTTTTAAGCACACTAAATTATAAGCGCATTACTCTTAAAACGAATTTTAAATATGAGTACTAAAAGGTCTAAAGTCCATACCTCACAATAACCACATGGTTCCACAAATAAAAACAATGAAACAAAGAGCCTAAACATAGAACAATAATCATGAAATCACTCAAACAACTTTCAAATAAGATGGCAATGGGTCGGGGACGGATAGTGCATATCCGTTATCCTACCCAAAGTAGTTTGGGTTTTACCATTACCCATACCCATATCTACATAAAAAACGGGTAGAAAATCCAAATCATGCTCATACCCGTTTGGGTTTCGGATATCCACGGTTATCCATGGGTATTAATTTTCTTTATGACCCCAATCAATATGTTAATATTACACGTATTCTCATGTTAGGTAAGACGAAAAGTACGACAATAATTCACTAGAATGAAGAAAATTAAGTAAAACAACACAATTTCATAAAAAAAATTATATTTATATGTTAAATATAAAATATGTTAGAAAAAATATTGATTGTTTCTAGACAAAATACATATGCATGTGTATAATCGGACGGGTTCATGTTGGATAGTGAAAAACCATTCCCACCCATTACCCGTAATATTCGGGTTCGGGTTTTACCCGTACCCACTAAAAATCATTCGGGTTCGGATTCTACCCTACCCGATTAGGTCAGATTCGGACGGATATCCACGGTTACGGATATTTTTGCCAACCCGAACCCACTAAAATTCATTCAGGTTCGGATTCTACCATACCCGATTAAGGCGGATTAGGACGGATATCCACGGTTACAGATATTTTTGCCATCGCTACTTTCAAATACAACTTCAACACCATCTCATTCACCACCACAACTCCACAAGCAATTGATGAATCACTGCTTAGTTGTTACCCTATCATCATCATCATCTAATAAGTTAAACTGGGCCAAGGAACGAATATTACAATTTACAAAGCCAAACAATCAATAAATGAGAATAAAAACATGTACATTTACTCACTTACCGGTGTTTGAGCATATCCATACCAAGAAGAGGAATAAGTTGGACGTTGAAAGACTAAAGAATCTTTTCTTTGTGAACTATAACTTAATGAACATGTATGTGGTGAAAACATTTGAGTGTCGAATATTTATCCAATGAAATAATGACGTATTTGATTGTAATTCATAGGACTCATGCTAATTAGAGAGTACATTCAAAACTAATCCCTTCGAATATGAGTGGATTAACACCATAGACGTTTGGGTTGTGAAGCTTGGGAAGCTTTGATAAGTTAATGCAAGAATGTTGGAAAATGATACTTATGACAAAAATGAAGGAAGTGGAGCTACAAATAGGAAGAGAGATCATAATGAATGTTGGTGGTGGCAGTGACAATGGGATGGTGGTGGTGGCAGGATGGCAGTAGGATGGTGGCGGTTGCAGGTCTACTGCGTGGTGGTGGGAGTGGCAGGAAGAAAGAAAAATGAGTTTATAAGTTAGGGTTAGAGGAAGAGAGAGGGGTTGATATCTATCTATTTATCTATCTATCTTCTATAAAATATATAAAGACTTTTCCAATAACCACCCTCATTCAAAAATCCAGTCCTACTACGCATCCACATCAGCACCCCTTTCCACTAATTAGATTTTTTCTTAACTTCCCTTTCCACCAATAATAAGATGTTTTCGTAACTTCTTTTTTTCTTTTCATTATAATTTTCTTTGTAGTTATTCTGTACTCCAATTAGATTGTGTCACTTAACACACACTCTCTCTTATTTTTCAATCACCATACTATTCTTATTCGATCCATATTTTTTCCGCTTCAACTCCGAATTTAAATATTGTTGCGCAAAAAAATCAGATTTTATGTGATCTACTCAATGATACCCATTTTGATATAAGTTGAATTTTTTCTCTTTCAAAAACATTATCACAATCATATATTCACAAGTCACTCTCATATTTGATAGTTGCTAAACTATATCAATATCATTCGATTCTACCGTCATAAAGTATATACTACCATAGATCACAAAACAAATTTCTTATTCTAATGAGTTACTAAATTATATCAATGTTTAATTTTGTACTATCATAATAATAATGCACAACAATTTCATGGGTGTTATAGAGGTTGTACAAAAATAGACAATGTAGGAGAAAAACTATTCCATAAAACATATTTCAAACAAAATTTACCCGGCCAACGGACCGGGTACAAAGCTAGTAGAGTTATGATGAGTTAGTGATTATGTGATCTAATTTTTTGTTAAAAAATGATTGTAGTCTAATCTCATTCATCAATTTAAAAAAAGCAGGAAAGAGGACGAACTCAATCGTGTTTATAGAGGTTGTGAAAAATTACAACAAAAAGATTTGTTACCATATCTCAAAGTAGGTCGAACGAAGTGAAAAGGGGGAAGCAACTCGGTCGATAGGTTCTTGAGATGGTTTAGAAGGCGTTGTCCACTCCTGGAACATATAGCTTTTTCTGTGCAAGTCTATCTCCCAAAAAGGAAGCCTTGTAATTGAACAACCCGTCCATAATTAACTTTGTAAAACACACCACCACCACCATGATTACTGATTAGCAATACAATTAGATTGTACCCCGACCAGTTGGCCGGTTGCAATATGATCACATTAACTAACAAAGTTTCAAAGTTTAAATTACAGTAGTCTCCACTTCTCTTATATTTATGCCATGATTATATGTCAATGTTATATGAATTAACAAATAACGATACCAATTTTACCAAATAGCAAGCTAGTTTCTTAGTTTTTACTATTAAGAAATTCAAATTATTCAATTTCTGGAAAAGAGAAAATGTGCATCTATCATAAAAATTACTAACATTGTAATAAGAGCCATCTATGTAGATTCTTGTTGAAAGTAAGCATATAGGTGTTTCAAAATAATAGCTATCACTTCTTAACAATCGGGATTTTTCCAGAAATAGCACCTTTTAAAAAAAATTACAAAAATAGCACCCAGCCGAAAATATTTATAAAAATAGCACCCTTTTTTATGGACCGCACCTCGAAGGTGCGGTTTATTATCCTGGGCCAAAACCACATCTTGGCCATGCGGTTTCACGTCTGACCTATAGAAACCGCATGGCCGAGGTGCGGTTTTGGCCTGACCTGGCAAAACCGCATCCCCAAGGTGCGGTTTTGCCACACAAACCGCACCCCCCAGTGCGGTTTGTGTGTCAATTATTTTTCGACACCAGACATATATCCATGCAGAATAACAGACGTGGGGCTGCATGGCAGACGAAAACCGCACCTCTAAGGTGTGATTTTCATAAGTGATTTTGCCTATAAAAGACTGCCCGGAAAACCTCTTCTCTTCACACCTCTCCTTCTCCTTTTCAATTTTCTGTTGTAGCTCTATATTTCTTTAGGGGTCGTTTGGATGTGGAAATTTGAGAATGTGGGAATTGGTCTTAATTTCCACGTTATAGAAAACCTGGGAATTGACATGTGGAATTTGACTGAAATTCCATGTTTGGAATGAGCTGAACAGTGTGGAAATTGATAGTGTTGCATTTAATTGAAGTACCAATTTGCCCCTTTTCATATGATATGAGCTTCTAACGAACACACAACTTCAAGAATAATCAATCCACAACTTCAAGTATAATCAATCCTAAATTGTTGTTCTCAATCCCCATCTCTCTAATACTAATACAAAGAAGAAAAGCAAAACACTAATCGTACGTCCCATTCCTATCCACTCTAAGCCCTCCACCATATAATTCCCCAATTCTTGGTGCCAACCAGTGATAAAGCAGAGGCAGAACAAGCACAAGAGCAACATCATAGCAGTAG